GGGACTATGAACTTGTCTCAAGTCCAAAAAGCCTTCTTGGAAGAGCTCAAAAAGGATTTTAAAAGTCAAATAAAAGAGGGAAAAGAAATATGAGGTATACAAGAGAGAGTCAACACCTTGGAAAAGGAAGGACAAAAACTGAACGTAGAACACAATTCTTTAAAAAAATACAATTGGCCAAATTGAAAAAAAAATCCACTGAAGAAAACAATTCCTTAAAAATGCAGAATTGGCCAAATGGAAAAGGAGGTACAGAAGCTAATTGAATAAAACAATTCATCAAAAACTGGAATTGGGCAAGTGGAAGCTAATGACTCTATGACACATCAAGAATCAGTCCAACAAAATCAAAAGAAAGAAAAAATAGAAGAAAATGTAAAATACCTCATTAGAAAAACAACTGACCTGGAAAACAGATCCAGGAGAGATAATTTAGGAATTACTGGTCTGAAACCATGATCAAAAAAAGGAGCCTAGATAGCATCTTTCTTCAAGAAATTATCAAGGAAAACTGCCCTGAGGTCCTAGAATCAGAGGGTAAAATAGTCACTGAAAGAATCACCTCCTGAAAGAGACCCCAAAGGGAAAATGCCAAGGAATATTGTAGCCAAATTCCAGAAGCATCAAGTCAAGAAGAAAACACTACAAGCAGCAAGAAAGAAACTATTTAAATATCATGGAACCACAGTCAGGATTACACAGGACTTCAGCAGCTTCTACATTAAAGGATCACAGGGCCTGAATTTATGATATTCCAGAAGGCAAAGAGCCTGGATTACAACCAAGAACCAACTATCCAGCAAACCTGAGTATAATCTTTCAGAGGAAAAGATGGATATTCAATGATACAGGGGATTTTCAATCATGCTTGATTTAAAAACAAAAAAACTAAAACTGAACAGAAAATTTGATCTTCAAATACAAGACTCAAGAGAAGCATAAAAAGGTAAACAGGAAAGAAAAAAAGATGTTATTCAATAAGGTTAAACTGTTTACATCCCTATAACGGAAGATGATACTTTTAACTCTTGAGAACTGTATCTTTACTATGACATTTAGAAGGGATATACATAGATAGAGGGTATGGGAATAAGTTGAATTTGATATGACAATAAAAATAATTAATTAAGGGGTTAAAAAAGGATTATACTGGGAGAAGAGGAAAGGGGGAGACAGAATAGGGTAACTTACATCACAGGAAGAGGCACAGACCTATTACAGTAAAGGGAAAGAAGGGAGGGGAGCAAACATTGTTTGAACTTTGTTCTCATCAGATTTGGCTCAAAGAGGGAATAACACGTATTCAGTTGGTTATAGAAACCTATCACACTCTACAGGAAGTAGGAGAGGAAGGGGGAAAGAAAAGAAAGGGAGTAGATAGAAAACAGGAAAAAGAGAGATGAGAAGTAGTAGGGGAAAGGGGAAAGAAAAAGGAAGGTGGATGATAGAAGGGAGGGGAGATTAAGGGTGATAGTGGTCAGAAGCAAAAGATGAGTGATGAGGGAAAAGGTGAAAGGAAAGAGAAAAGTATAAATGGGAGAAAACAGGATGTAGAGAAAGACATATAGTAATCATAACTGTGATTGTGAATGGGATGAACTCTCCTATAATACAGAAGCAGTTAACAGAGTGGATTAAAAACCAGAATCCTACAATATGTTGTTTACAAGAAACACATTTGAAGCAGAAAGATACAGACAGAGTAAAGGGAGAAGGCTGGAGCAGAATATATTATGCTTTAGCTGAAATAAAAAAAAAAAGCAGGGGTTGCAATCCTGATCTCAGACAAAGTAAAAGCAAAAATAGATCTAATTAAAAGAGATAAGGGAGGAAATGACATATTGCTAAAAGGTATCACAGACAATGAATTAATATCACATTAAACATATATGCACCAAGTGGTATAGCATCCAAATTTTTAGAGGAGAAGTTAAGTGAGTTCAGAAAGAAATAGGCAGCAAACTATACTAGTTGGGGACCTCAACCTCCTCCTCTCTGAACTAAATAAATCTAACAACAAAATAAACAAAAAAGAAGTTAAGGAGGTGAATAGAATTTTAGAAAAGTTAGATATGGTAGATCTCTGGAGAAAACTGAATGGGGATAGAAAGGAATATACCTTTTTCTCAGCAGTACATAGCACCTACACAAAAATGGACTACGTACTAGGGCATAAAAACCTCACAATCCAACGCAGAAAGGCAGAAATATTAAATGCATCCTTTCAGATCACTATGCAATAAAAATTACATGTAATAAAGGGCCATGGAAAGACAGACTAAAAATTAATTGGAAACTAAATAATCTAATCCTAAAGAATGAGTGGGTCAAACAACAAATCACAGAAACAATCGATAACTTCACCCAAGAGAATGACAATCATGAAACATCATACCATAATTATGGGATATAGCCAAAGAGGTTCTTAGGGGAAATTTTATATCTCTAAATGTTTACATGAATAAAACAGAGAAAGAAGAGATCAAAGAATTGGGCATGCAACTAAAAAAACTAGAAAAAGAACAAATTAAAAATCCTCTATTAAATACCAAATTAGAAATTCTGAAAATTAAAGGAGAGATTAATAATATTGAAATAACTAAAATTAGTTTTATTAAAAAAAACCAATAAAATAGACAAACCTTTGGTTAATTTGATTTAAAAAAAGAAGAAAACCAAATCAGTGTCAGAAACGGAAAGGGTGAATTTACCACCAATGAAGAGGAAATTAAAACAATGGTTAAGAGCTATTTTGCCCAACTGTATGCCAATAAATCTGACAATCTAAATGAAATGGATGGACATTTACAAAAACATAAATTGTCCAGATTAACAGAGGAAATAAAATACTTAAATAACTGCATTCTAAAAAAAGAAATTGAACAAGCCATCAATGAACTCCCTATGAAAAAATCTCCAGGGACAGATGGATTTATAAGTGAATTCTATCAAACACTGAAAGAACGATTAATTTCAATACTATGTAAACTATTTGGAAAAACAGGCCAAGAAGGAGTCCTACAAAATTCTTTTTATGATAGAAGTATGGTGCTGATACCTAAACTGGAAAGAGCCAAAACAGAGAAAGAAAATCATAGACCAATTTCCCTAACGAACATAGACGCAAAAATTTTAAATAAAACATTAGCCAAGAGATTACAGCAATTTATCATGACAACAATACACTATGCCCAGTGGGATTTATAGCAGGAATTCAGGGCTGGTTCAATATTAGGAAAACTTTCAGCCTAATTGACCCTATCAATAACAAAATTAACAGAAATCACATGGTTATCTCAATTGATGCAGGAAAAGCTTTTTGACAAAATACAGCACCAATTCCTATTAAAAAGGATGAAACTACAAGCAAATTAGGAGAGCAAGGAAGAGTTTACCTGTCAGACCTAAGAAGAAGGTAAGAAGTTACCACCAAACAATAGATAGAAAACATTATGAAATGCAAAATGGATAATTTTGATTACATTAAATTAAAAAGGTTTTGCACAAACAAAGCCAATGCAACCAAGATTAGAAGGGAAGCAGAAAGCTGGGAAACAATTTTTATAGCCAGTATCTCTGATAAAGGCCATGTTTCAAAAAAAAAATATATATATATATATATTGAGAGAGAGAGAGAGAGAGAGAGCGAGCGAGAGAGAGAGAACAGAGTCAAATCTATAAGAGTACAAGTCATTCCCCAACTGATAAATGGTCAAAGGATATGAACAGGCAGTTTTCAGATGATGAAATTAAATTTATCTATAGGCATATTAAAAAATGCTCTAAATCACTACTGATTAGAGAAATGCAAATTAAAACAACAACTGTGAGGTACCACATCACACCTATCAGACTGGCTAACATGACAAAACAAGAAAATGATAAATGTTGGAGAAGACATGGGAAAACTGGAACACTAATGATTGTTGGTGGAGTTGTGAACTGATCTTATCATTCTGGAGAACAATTTGGAACTATGACCAAAGGGCTATAAAACTGTGCATAACCTCTGATCCAGCAATACCACTATTGGGTCTTGGAATTGGAATACACTATTGTATTCCAAAGTGATCATAAAAAAGAGAAAAGGACCCACATGTACAAAAATATTTATGGCTGCTCTTTTTGTGGTGGCAAAGAATTGTAAGTTGAGGAGATGCCCATCAATTGGGGAATGGTTGAACCAGTTGTGGTATATGAATGTAATGGAATACTACTGTTCCATAAAAATGGTGAGCAGGCAGATTTCCAAAAAACCTGGAAAGATTTGAATGAACTGATGCTGAGTGAAGTGAGCAGAACCAGGAGAACACTGTACACAGTAACAGCAACACTGTGCAAAGACTGACTTTGTCAGACTTAGCTCTTCTGAGCAATGCAATTCTAAGACAGTTCCAGAAGACTCATGATGGAAAATGTTATCCACATCTAGAGAAAGAACTATGGAGTCTGAATGCAGATCGAGGCATACTATTTTCTCTTTCTTTTTTTGTTTTTTGTTTTTTTCTTTCTCATGGTTTTTCCCTTTTGTTCTAATTCTTCTTTCACAACATGACTAATGTGGAAATATAATTAATATGATCATACATGTATAGCCTATATCAGACTGCATGCCAGCTTGGGGAGGAGGGATTGGGAGGAGAGGATTTAGAACTCAAAATCTTACAAAAGCAAACGCTGAAAACTAAAAATACATAAATACTTAGATTTTATAAAAAAAGAAAGAAAATTGCAGATATGACTTTATAAAAAGTATTTACTTCTAGTAAAAAAAATCCTTCAAAGAGTAAGAACATTAAAGAATAATCAATAGAAAACAAACAATTTCTATATTAGCCTTCCAAAATAAAAGAGAAGAGCTCTATATTAGAACTCATAATGGTCCACCCATCTACTCTGGAGAGGAAATAGTTTTTATCAACCAAGGACATCTTCATGTTAAAAAAAAATTAAAATTATAGTAAAATTTCTCAACCAAAAAATAACAAAAACAAACATACTCTACCACTGTGCAATTCCACTCCATAGAATTCTAGCGTTCGGGCAATGTTAATAAAGCAGGATTCTGCTTCAGATTGCTTTAGGCCACTAGAGAAAACAAAAATAAAAAAGAGACTTAATGAGAATGGAAAAGAGTAATTCAATAAGCAGACAAAAGAGAAACTGTGGAAATGATTAACTGAATTTTTTCATAACAAAATCAACCAAATTTGATAATCATCTTTGTATGGTTGCTATATGCCTCAATTTTAATGCCATTAATTCCAAAAGAAGGCAAAAAATTTATTAAAATGAAGCGATCAATTTCATTCACTTACTATGATCTCAACTTTCTCTACCACTCCTACAATTAAATGGCCCATCTTACTTACTGGTCCATCAATATTCAATTACAATCACTTCTGTCTTTTTACTTATTTGAAGCTACCTAATTTAAATCCAAACTGATTTTCTGTCTTTATTCCTTGGAGAGTTCCAATGTCAGAATTCCCAAATGCAATGTTACACACAAGGTACAGTCTTAGAAATTCTGAGAAAGGTAAGTATTTTGAAGTCTCATTTTAGAAGCTCTTTTTAACAACCTGGTCCTTGCTTTTAGCTTTCAGAGTTTGAAGTACACTTATGCTTGTCAACAAAGTCAACATCTACTCTTTTATTATGATTTAATTTGGCCCGAATCCACGCAACTGCAAATAGGGAATAAATGCCTAGTCGTTCTTCCTTTTAAAATAGTGACAAGAAGAAATTCTCCTATTGAAAAGAATCAACAACAAAACATATGTGCATGTATATACACATAGTGGAGTTACTACAGGTACTCCGGGATTACTCTAACATTAATGGGATGATCACCAATGCATTTGACTGCTACAGGCAAATATAAGAAAAGAATTCATCGGTTTACACTTCATCTAATATGTATTTTAAAAGACCACAGCCACCTGAATCATTCCAAAGAAGTCCTAGAGGTTATGAATTACCAAAAGGGGAGACACACACACACAGACACACAGACACACACACCCTCCCACCCACACACCCACCCCCTCTTTTTGGCAGCTGAGGTGTAATTTCCAAACTTGTAATTTCATCAAGAGTAGTGAGTTTCAAGTATGCTAATTCCTTCAATAGAGATAGACAATTCTGCAACTGAAGTCTCAAAAAACTGTCTGAAATGTTGAGAAGGTAAGTAACCTTGCTCATTTTCACCAACAGAGTTTATCAGAGGCAAAATTTAAACTCAGATCTTTCTGACTTGAAGGCCTGTCTTTTGTCTAGGTGGTCTCATGTAGATGTGCATATCTATTTTAATGGACCTGTGATTTCATTTAGTAGAGGACTCCCATTGACTCCCATTGACTAAACTTCTCAACCAAAGCTGATAGACACTGGCAATTTATAGTCGTAGAGCGTGAGTTAAAAGTGTCTTGACCAGGGACACACAGCCATTTTGTGTCCATCAGAGGCAGGACTTTGAAACCCAAGTTCTTCTGATTGAAAGTTCCATGAGGGCAGGGACTGTCTTTGCTTTCATTTGTATTTGTAACCCCAATGCTTGGCACATAATAAACTCTTCATAAATGTTTACTAATTGAATAACCATTCACCAAAATATACTTCTTTTCCATATGTGTACAAATAACTAATGTTTATTACAGGAATATGCTAGTTTGGGGTGACAGTACAGTTATATTCTGGATGTGCCTTATATATGCTTCAAAGTACCTTGTACATTTGGTATTTTTAGTGTCTGAAAGAATATTTTATAATTTTAAATAAATACAGAGGAGTACAATTTTTGTATCTTGGCCTTTATGACTGATCTACAGTGTTCGCTTTTTCAGGAGCATAACTCCCAATTATACCATTAGTGCTTGAGGAAAGTATAACCTGCTTTTCAATGATACCCTTTATGACAATAAAGTCATAATATCAATTTTATATTGCCATCAGTATTACTCTTAGGATTCACACAATGAGGGAAAATCCCAATGAGGGAGAAACTCAGGTTTTTAAAAGTCACTAGGAGCAGAAGTGATTTTAAAATGTACATAAAACTATTTTTCAGAAATGTAGGGGATTGAGGACAGCAAATGATATAGCAGCATACTGCATCCAAATAGGGTACATCCTGATAGGAAACAAAGTAGTAATACAGGGGAAAGGTTTATGGATGTGGTATCAGGGATGTTAGACGTTTTGTGGGAAGGGATGGACAGGGCATGTTTTGGTTGATCATGAGAGAAAATGACACGAAGATTCGTTGTTAGTGTTTTTCAATTCAGATTCTATAAAGAATACCTAGTTATACCCAGGAGTTGGCTCTAGGGCTCATTAAAAAAAAAAGGAAGTATCAAAAGTGATACCCTTTATTTTCATGAGGACAAACAACTAAATACAAATTTATGCAGAAAGCTGAGGTCATGTTGGATAGCCCAAGAGATGATCTAAGCCTCAAGCCAAAACTTGGGAAATGCTCTAGGAAGATCTAGGATCTTAAGAAAACAAACAAACAAACCATCAAGACTGTGAGTTGTGCTTAGAATGGGAGAAGAATCAAGTACTGGAGTAATTTATCAAAAGCTGTACCTAATACAAGGTACTTATGAGTGTAGAGCATATTCCCATTTCTAAAGGTTTGCCTCATATTTAGAATTCTAAATTTCAAATCTCAGATTGAATAAGAGACTGAAGCTCACTTAGCCCAACCTCTCAGTTAATGAAAAGATCCCTGAATCCAGACCCTGCTTGTATCATCTGATGAAGAAATAACTACCTAATGAGAAAGCCATTCCATTAAAATAAAAAACAAAAAAACCTTCTAGCTGAAAGAAAGTCTATCTTCCTTATATTGGGTATAGATTTCTCCTAATTAGCTTCAGTATAAATACCACCCACTAGGGGAATTGTTAATGGAAACAGATGTAAATGGTTAAATTCCCATACTATTTTAAATGTATTTCATAGGAATTATTCTTTTAAAGATTGCATATAATTGTTTTAATAGTTTTTTTTAATAGAAAAGACAATAACGCCTGGATTTTGAGCTTAACGTTTCAAGATTCACTATCTTGTGGATAGAGAAAGGTCAAATTATTGGGCTGATGATACCTTAAACGGGCAGCAGCATCCAGGTAGTGGCAAAGTTAGTGATGAGAAACTAACCACCATTTGGGAATGCCTCCCAAAATGAACCCTAGCCAGTGAAAACAAACACTTAACTCGTACCTGATTTTAACTAAGTGCTAATTGATGTACAGGGAGACTGAAAGCCTTACTCAAAAATTTTCCACATGTAGTAAGGAGATAAATAAAAAATTTCAAATTAATTTTGATTAGAAATTTGGAAAACTAGAAGGTCTTTTTAAAATATAATTACTTGTTAAAGGAATCTTTTTTTTTAAAAGGCAATAATAAATTTGAGAGGCAGCATGGCCAAGTGGATAGAGTTGGCTTCGGAGCCAAGAAGACCTGGGTTCAAATTCAACCACTCAATACTCTCTAAGGCAACTCTCTAAGATGTTAAGTTGTAGAGAAGGCACTGATCTGCATTGGTGGAGGGAGTTCTCCTGCTCGAGAGTTCCTCATGCCAAAGAAATCACAGGACCCGTCCCTATCCTGAATAATAAACATGCAACTGTGAAGTTATTTTTTTTTAATCTCCTAGCTAGCAGAATAAAAGCTGAATAAGTTTTTTCTCCTTCAGATGAAATGCACTGTTCTATCAGAGGTAAAGATATTAGAGCAGCATGTTTCAGAAATTCTTGGAAAATGAGAGAGAAATTGTTTTGCCCATCTATGTATTTTTACTAGTGTTTTGTTTTTCTCTTTGTTCTTTCAAGTGAAGTGGATATAATGGGTACTGTATTTCTTGCCTTCTCAACGGGTGGAGAAGGGGCAGGAAGAAGGGAAAGAACTCAGAACTGAAAATAAAAGAAATTAAAATTAATTGGGGAAGTGGGTAGGGGGATTTGTTATTCAGTTGTGTCTGAGTCTTCGTGACCCCACATGGGGTTTTCTTGGCAAAGATACTGGAGTGGTTTGCCATTTCCTTCTCCATTCCAGTCCATTTTACAGATGAGGAACTGAGACAAATAGGGTTAAGTGGCTTGCCCTGGGTCACACAGCCAGTAAGTGCCTGAGGCCACATTTGAACTCAGGAAGAGGAGTCTTCCTCACTTCAGTCCTTACACTCTATCCACTGCACTACCTAACTACCCTGGGAGAAAAAAAAATCGGTATAGTGGATAGAACACTGACTTGGAGTCAGGAAGATCTGAGTTAAAATTCAACCTAAGACACTTACTAGCTGTGTGACCCTGGGCAAGTCGCTTAACCACATTTGCCTCAGTTCTTCATCTGTAAAATGGGGACACAGGAGAAAGAAAGGGCAAACCACTCCAGTGTCTGCCATGAAAATCTCATGGACTTGTCCTTGGGGTCACAAAGAATCACATATGACTGAAAAACAACAACAAACTGGAAAATCAAACTAAAAAAAGAAAATGAGAGATAAATGGGATTAATAATCATACTAACTAACATTTATATAGCACCAATTTATGTGCTAGGCACTCTGTTAAGTGCTTTACAGATATTATCTTATTTGATCCTCACAACAATCTTTTAAGATAGGTTCTATTATCATCCTTGTTTTACAAATGAGAAAACTGAGGCAAACAGAAGTTTGTGGCAAGTAACTTGCCCAAGGTCACACAGTAGTAAGTTTCTGAGGTCATACCTGAACTCAGGTCTTCCCAACTCCAGGCCTGGTGCTCCATCCACTGTGCCACCTAGCTACCAGTATGATTATTAATCTAATATACATCTGCTAGACAGTTTTTATAGATTCAAATTCATGAATCTTAACAATTTTTAAATTAAAAGGGATCTTAGTCCAAATCTTGCAGATTGAATTAAAGCCCTGGAGACAGAGCTGCCTAATAAGCAGGGTCACATCTGCTATGGTCTCCAAGGTCTTATGTATCTGACATATGTGAAGTCATGGGATCAAAGAACATCAGTACTAGAAGGGACCCAATAGAGTAAGCACAACTCCTCATTTTACAGATAAAGAAACTGAGGGACAGAGCTATTAAGTGATGTTGAAGGTGTCATGACCCAGTAATCTGATCTTCCTCCAAGCATGGGAAGGTCAGTCTCAAGGACACTTAGCTCACAATCTAGGTAGTATTACCTTTATTTTTTTTTAAATTGTCCAAGGTCACAGACAGTAGTTTAGTAGCCAGAACCTGAATTCAATTCTAAATTTTCTCTTCCTTCTTGATACTCGGTAATTTTTAGGTTTTAGACAAATAGCTTTTGAGCAGATAAGCATGACTTCTATGCAATGGCTTTTCCTTGGACTTCCTTCTTCGTGTAGGATACTGAGGCCATGACTTCTAGTTTACTGAGTTTTGCCCATTGTGAAAGTAATTTTAAATTAAGTGAACTAAGTGAAGTCTGTGTTTTGACTTATTATTTTTTTTTTTAGTGAGGCAATTGGGGTTAAGTGACTTGCCCAAGGTCACACAGCTAGTACATGTCAAGTGTTTGGTCTGAGGCCGCATTTGAACTCAGGTCCTCCTGACTTCAGGGACAATGCTCTATCCACTGCGCCATCCAGCTGCTCCTTTGACTTATTATTTTACACGTTTGTTAATTTCATAATAACTCAAGAAGGAACTGGCTGATTTTTGCTAATCTTGGTAAAATACTAACGGGTATCAAGATATAACATAAGTTCAGTCTGTGCTCTGGCCAGCCATATTGAAACAAAATGGCAGCCAACACAACTTTTGAAATGGATATTTCTATTAGGCGTTAAGGCTATAAAGACAAGTTATCTTAATAGGAAAATAGTCTCAGTTTGTCATTTTAAAACAAAATTTATCGTATTACTTACACTATAATCTACATTGGGTAAAAGCAAAAACAGTCATTTACCAGCACTGGCTAATGTTTAGGAAACATGAGTTAGTTACTGTGCCTCTAAGAGAAGCTCTCAGATCCATTTCTTGTTGCTGTTCAGTTATGTCTGACTCTTTGTGACCCCATTTGGGGTTTTCTTGGCAAGGATATTGGAGCGGTTTTCCATTTCCTTTTGCCATTCGCCCTCACTAGAAGCCACATTGGAGGGAAATGAAGACATAGGTTTACGACTACATGTATATATATATATATATGCATATACACAATTTCTACATTATATAAACTTTATATGTAAATATATAAATTATAGTTGTTCACTTATTTTCAGTCATATCTGACTCTTGGTGACCCCTCCATTTGGGGTTCTCTTGGCAAAGATATTGGAGTGGTTTGCCAATTCCTTCTGCAACTCATTTCAGGGATGAGGAAACTAAAGCAAATAGGGTTGAGTAACTTGCCCGGGGTGTCACAACTAATAAGTATCTGAGGCCAGATCTGAACTCAGGTCTTCCTGATTCCAGGCTTTGTTCTTTACTCACTGTGCCACCTAGCTGCCCCCTCAAAGTACTAGTCTATACAAACAGAGCTACCAACACGCTAACCCCATTCACCATCCTTTTAAAACAATTCCTGAGCCAGAGGTAAGATAAGATCACACAAATCACATGATACCATGCCTAAACACATCCAGAACTAAGTTATTAAAATAATCAATGATGCACATGAAATGATTCTGCTTTAGTCAGGTATTACCTGTGCTGTTCATGTAGTGACTCTACTCTGGTTACAAAGTCTTTATTCTGATCTGGTATAAACTGGCTATCGGAAAGATATCCTGAAAGATGCAGTGAAGAGTTATGGTCTCCAAACTGAGCTATTAAGAAAAAAAAAGGGAGAGGGGGAATTAATGATTAATTTAATCCTTTATTCAGACAGGCTATACTAACAGAAGACAACAGTATCACAGTCAGAAACATCAGTAGTTCTTCTGTAAATGAGACTAACAAAGATAACACTCCTTGCTATATGGACACAATGAGGAATTCCCACCACAGCTGAGAGCCAGCATGAGTCTGAAGAAAGCTCCCCTTTGGACTAGGTCCTTCATCATGTTCACTGCTGATCGGTGAACTGGAAACATTCATTATATTTTACCACACACAGCACGGCAGGTTAGGCTTAGATCTTGGGTTTGGACAAATAAAAAACCTCCCTCAAAAATAATACGCTAGTATTACACACAAAAATCCAGATCTGGCCTCAGACACTTACTACTGTGTGACCTTGGGCAAGTCACTTAACTCCGTTTGCCTCAGTTTCCTCATCTGTAAAATAAACTGGAGAAGAAAATGGCAAACCATCTCAGTGTCTTTGCCAAAAAAACCCAAATGAGGTTATGAAAAGTCAGACATGACTGAAAACAACTAAACAAAATTACACTTACACGTGTCTTTCTATACCTAACACATTACACAAACCTACATTCATATACACACTATTATATAAATTATTTTAGTACTACCTAAGTTTCAAATCTCTATCAAGAGGACATTATTTTTATCATTTCCCTGGCCTGTACTGCAACAATATAACATCTGCTTCTTTCTCCTCAGATCTGACATAAGTACTTTCCAATAGTTTTCTATCCTCATGCTAATCGATCTCCATAGAGGAGAGATAGCTTGCTGGCCCCTTCTTCTATTGTATCTGTTTCTTCTAGATAAGCTATTGCTTTTTTCAAGTGCCAAGACTAAATTCTAATTCCTTTCTAAAAACCTATGGGAGTTGTGCTACCAAGAGACCCTCTTCATTTCTGTCACTCATCTTAGTCTTGCCTCCTCAGTATGCATCTTTGCTGATGATAAGCCCTTCCCTGGGATGCCATGCTATTTTTTTTCCAGGTTATCTTTATTCCCACTCAACTTTGCTGACTTGATACCCTGACAATCCACATGCACGTTTGTGCCCTGCCTGTGGTTCTCCTGCTAACCCATTCCTTTGTTCCCCTCTTTTGTTAATCTCCCATGATATATGACTTATGCGAGTGGATTGCAGGTTCTCCTATCCTCCTTGGGGACAACTCAATCACAGCTGAGAGCAATGAACTGACTGGGCGTCAGAGCCAGTCTGCCCCCTCCTCGGAACAGTGGAATTTGTGGTCTCAGAACAACCTGATGTTGCCTGGATTAAATTTATCACAGTATTTCAGAGGTGGAAAGGATTCAGAGGCCACCCAGGCCAACCCATATTAAAAAAAAAATGCTCTTTACAATATATCCAACAAGTATGACCATTCAACTTGTGCCTGAAGACCCCCAATTATGGGGTACAATGTGGCATGAGATGGAGCATGCCGTAACAAATATGTCATTGAATTTTAGAATCACAAAGCTCTGGTTTCAAATCTAACCTCAGGTATTTAATTGTTGTGTGACCCTGAGAAAGTCATTTAATCTGTCTATGCCTTGGTTTCCTTATCTGCAAAATGAGCGCATTGGACTCAATGGCCTCTAAATTCCTACTAGCATTGATGCTGAGTGAAGTGAGCAGAAACAGGAGAACACGGTACACAGTAATGGCAACATTGTGCAATGATCTGCCGTGATTGACTTAGCTCTTCTCAGCAACACAATGATCCAAGACAATTCCAAAAAACTCACAATAGTATCCACATCCAGAGAAAGAACTGTGGAGTCTGATGCAGATCGAAGTATATTATTTTCACTTTTGTGTGTGTGTTTTTTTCCTTTTATTCAGTTTCTTCTTTCACAATATGACTAATGTAGAAATATGTTTTATATTATTGCACATGTATAACCTATATCAGACTAATTACCATCTTGGGGGGGGGAGGAGAAGGGAGGGAGGGAAAAAATTTGGAACTCATAATCTTTCAAAAAATGAATGCTGAAAATTGTCTTTACATATAATTAGAAAAAATAAAATACTATCAAAATGTAAATTTCTTCTAGCTCTAAATCTGTAACCTAAGGTAACCCATTGCACTTTGAGATAGCTCTAACTGTCAAGAAATTCTTCTTTATGGGGCAGCTAGGTGGCGCAGTGGATAGAGCGCCAGCCCTGGAGTCAGGAGGACCTGAGTTCAAATCTGGCCTCAGACACATAACACTCACTAGCTGTGTAACTCTGGGCAAGCCATCTAACCCCAGTTGCCTCATATTAAAAAAAGAAAGAAAGAAAGAAAGAAATTCTTCTTTATATAGGCTCCAAATTTTAATATTTGCAGGCTCTACCCACTGTGCCCAGCTCTGCTGTCTTGTTCTGCTAAGTAGAAGGAGATCAATCCCTCTTCAACATGGCGGCTCCTCAAATATCTGAAGACAGCTCTCATGTTCTTCCCGAGTCTTCTTAGTTCCTTCAAATCTGGTCTTTATGTGGTATGGACTTAAGGTCATCTACTACCCTAAGTTATCCTTCTTGGGTTGCTCTAGATTTGGGAATTTGCAGGAAAATTTATATGGAAAGACAAGGTGGACAAAGACACACTCTCTTGGTTTCCACTAGAGTTGTAACTACCATCTGGACCCAGGCAGCAGGTAACGACTGCAGCCTGAACCAGGCCAACCAGCAGGACCCCTTTATCTGTAATTACTGCCTGGAGACCCACAAGTGTCTAGGTTGCATAGTGAGAGGTGATCAGATGAAAAGGGAGATGCACGGATTGGGTCACCAAAGCTTTAAACAGGCTCAAAGCAGAGGTACTGGAAGTCTGCCCCATACGCGGCTATTATGTAGGGTCTTTACCCTAGAACTTCCCTCTGCCATTGGGTATATGAGCTCATTCCCATTCAATAACATGTTTTTGTTTTGTTTTGTTTTTTTTTGCTACGATACTGTGTTTCTTACTATCCTGAATCTCCCATGATTCGAGCCCAGGCCTTCTATGTGCCATAGCTGGTCTCCATCTTATTTATGTTTTTCCCAAAATGGGGTATCCAGAAGTGAAAACCATCCTCTGACCAGGGAAGTGTACACAGGGACTATTACCTCCTTATTCTGCCTCTCCTAACAGAGCCTAAAAGCAGACTGAGGTTTTTTTTGGCTGCCATATACCGTTATCTTATATTGAGCTTTTTGTCCCCAAAAGCTCCCATATCTTTTCTGAAGAACTGCTGTCTAAACACCGTTGTTCTTCAGTCATTTTTCAGTCACGTCCAACTTGTCATGACTCCAACTGGGGTTTTCTTGGCAAGGATATTGGAGTGGTTTGTCATTTCCTTCCCTAGCTCATTTTACAGATGAGGAAACTGAGGCAAACAGGGTTAAATGATTTGCTCGTGGTCACACAGCTAATGAGCATCTGGGCCAAATTTGAACTCAGGTGTTCCTGACTCCAGGCCTGGCCCCCTATCCACTGTGCTACCTCGCTGCCTTATGCCTACCATGGTACTTACTAGCTGTATGACCACAAGCAAGTTGCTTAACCTCCCTGAGTTTTAGTTTCATCACCTGTAGAATGGAGATAAAACTGGCAATCTTCTTACCTCCAGGACAATTAAGTCCCACCTACCACCCATTCCTCATCACCCCCCAAAAACTGCAATGCAAACTCATGCATCCATGTCTTTATTGTTATTCCTGAAATGCCTGCCCTCTTGTCTCCTTACCATGGGAAACTCTTTCCCATCCTTTAAAACCCAATTCACATGTCATCCCCTCTACTTGATCCTCTACCCAATGCTTATAACAACCTTGTCCCACAGACCTCTCATAGCACTGTTTTATAATTCTCTTAATATACAAACTAAATGAATTATAATTATCTTTACAGGTATATTTCCCCAACCAGCCCATTAGCTGGGATGTGGGTGGGGAATAACTCTCTTACAGTATTTCTCAATGATGGGATTTCAATGGATCAAAGAGTGGAATTGCTTTTGTTACTTTTCACATATTACCAGATTGCTCTAAAAAAGATCATGCCAACATGCAATTCTACCAGCAAACTATTGGAGTGGGACATAGTATGATGTGGTAGAAATTACAGCAGATCTGCATCCAGGAAAGGCACCCCAACTCTATGGGCCCCAATATCCCCAAACAGAAACAGCTCAGAGCTGGAAGGAGTCTCAACAGTCAGCCAGCCCAATTTACACATAGAGGAATGCCCAAATCTTCAACAAAGACTCATCATTCAGCTCCAGGGATGGGCAAAGCTGCCCATTCTTGAACAGGTCTCATTATTAGAAAGTTATTCCTCATACTGAGCTAAAATCTGCCTTTTCAACTTCACTCACCATTCCTACATATCAGTCCTCTAAGATAGAACAAGACAAATCTAATGCACCTGCTACTCAAAGTCTTTTAAGGACCTGTAGATACCAACAATGACCTTCCATCCTCCTGGAAGAGTTTTTTGCTTCATTCCTTTTGGGTAAGAAATCCAGAACAAAATAAAGATGATAACCAGTCTTTCTTCTTTATCTGGAAGTACTGGATTGGAAAGTTTGCTTTTACAGCATGGTTCTCAGTCCTCTGACCATCCTGGACCCCTGCCCATAGCCACACCCTCACTGGCTTCACTCTACCTTGTCAATGTCTGTTCTAAAATGTGGCAGTCGGTCTGACCCGGACAGAGAACAGCCCCTAGAGATGTACCTCATATCACAGTATAGTCCTATTAACAAGCTCCATCTCATCACATAATGGAGATACTTATGAAATTGTATTTTTTTCAGATCGATTATTCATGTCCAACTCTTCGTGACACCACTTGGGATTTTCTTGGAAAAGATACTGGGACTGATTTGCCATTTCCTTCTCCATCTCATTTTACAAATCAGGAAACTGAGGCAAACAGGGCTAAGTGACTTGCCCAGGGTCACACAGCTAGTAAGTGTCTGAGGATATCTG